ACGGGCCCCGCCGCTGCTGCCCAGCAGGACGGGGACGGAGAGTCACGTCTCAGGCACTTGCTGTGACAGCTGGCCCCACTCTATCTGGACAGGGAGAGCTAAAGTTCTCCCTATCCTCTATCAGAAACTCATTAATTTGCTGATTACTACTGCCCCATGCCCTGGACTCCGGCCTGCAGGAATTCCTGTCTCGATGTCACCACGAGCGCGTCTGGATTCGCTCCAGCGGAGGCCGGTATCCTTCACAGTGACCTTCAGCGTCTGGCACGGACCCTCTGCTGGCTTCCTCCCTCTACCTGCTTTACTCCTCAGTTGCTCTGGTTTACAGGATATCTCATTTAAAAGTCCAATATGTGCTAATTTAGTCAGATCTTTATTTCTTCTTACTCATGAATTAAAGTAAGGATCATTCTTGATCCTTGGAACACCCTTGGCGCCTCCTGCAAGCCGCCACACGGCAACCTCACTGGTATTTGTGGTCTTACCAGCGTCACCCCCACACTACACACACGTCCCCACACCCCCTGCGTCTCGAGGGCTCCCACAAGCACCTGCCAGTACGACCACAGAGGACCCAGTTCACCGACAACCACGCTCCTGTCATCTGCCGCTCCTCCTGCTGGACCCTGCGGCTGAACACGAGCAGCAGCGCAGATCGCTCGCCAGCTTTTGACAATAATAATGAGATTTTACAACCACACGGTGCTCCTCCGCTGACCCAAAGGCAAGATAAACACAAACCCACGGCCATCAAGGGCAGGCAAAGCTCACAGAAGACCACAGAGGGTTGTTTGGGTCTTCGCGCCTCTACGCACGACTCTGAGCCCTCAGATGACGATCCACCTCACCCCTGGAGCGCCCGCAAAGCCAGTACGGATTCAGGGTAACAGAGGCAGCGCGGTGGCAACTCACCTGTCGGCCGATCCTCCCGCAATTTTACTCCCATCTGGGGACCAGGAGCACCTCAGAAGGTTCTAAAACAAAAGAACGCGCACAGATGTGTTTCCGAAGGAAGATTTGGTTTTCCCCTTCCACTTGAATTAAAACCACCACGAGACTTTAACTATCACGAGCACCGCTCTAATGATCTCCCTTCGGAAGATGAGCTGGTAATTACAGATTTTATTTTATCGCTGGAAACATCCAGTGCCTTGTTATTTTACACAAAGCAGATAGTAAATGTAGAAAATACTTAATTTACAGCTAATTAGAGCTGAACCGAGCAAAGAAATCTTGTTACTGCGGCTTTAATTGGAATCCCACTTTGTGCATCAATCTTTGAGTTCGTATTAAAGCCTTCCTGATTTAAACCTGAATTTAAAAAACACTTTATGGAAAAGTGAACAGCGGCAGCATTTTACAACCAGCCACGTTTCGGTCCGCAGCACACCCACCTTTTCAAAATTATGTACGTTCCCCTGGAATATCTTCACACATCTCTCCTTGGGGGCAAAGGGCCGCACGTCCCAGATGCGAACTGCAACAGAGAGCTCACCGTCATCGCCCGGCGACGGCAGCGGCACGGGGGCAAGGGCAGCTCCTGGAAACATCCCTTTTTCCCCAAGACACGCTGCCAACCAGCCGAGACCTGGTCAGGCTCCTTCACGCCTCGGTCTCCCCAGCAGCAAGAGGCAACCAGCGGCTTTCCCCCGCGGAAAGCTTTGACGGGAAAGGTCAAACGCAGGAATTTATAATGACACCGAGCCCGCCGCCAACAGGAGGGGAAAAGTCAGGCTCCTTCACGCCTCGGTCTCCCCAGCAGCAAGAGGCAACCAGCGGCTTTCCCCCGCGGAAAGCTTTGACGGGAAAGGTCAAACGCAGGAATTTATAATGACACCGAGCCCGCTGCCAACAGGAGGGGGAAAACCCAAACCAGCCATCGCACACACGGGCCACCACCTCCTTCCAGCAGCATTCGCTTTGCTCTAACACGCCCCACGGTCACGCTTCTCACCCCACCAGCCCCGCTGAGCGCCCCCACCCCGGAGACGGGCAGTTTGGAACCTGGGCTGGCACCCCCCGCCGCGGGGAAACAGCCAAACCGCCCT